GTGACCTCCTGGTTCATGGGTCAGCACTCAACCACTGAGCCACACCAGTCAGGCAAAAGAAGTAGATCTTAGAAGTGGATTTGGGTAAACAGATAAGAGTGGAGAGAGTATAGAGGCAGGAAATGCCAGTTTGTACCCAGTAATAGTGGAATAAACTGGTCATCTAGCTCAGGGTTTCTCAGCCTCCATACTATTGGCATTTAGAGCTGGATAATTCTTTGCTGGGGGTCGGGGGTAGGGGTGCTGTCCTGTGCACTGAAGGATGTTTAGTGGCACACCTGGTCTCTCCCCACTAGGTGCCAGGAGCACCACCCCCCTACCAACCATGTGAAAATTAAATTAAAATGTCCCCAGACATTACCAATGGCCCCTGGTTGATAAGCATCATTGGTTTAGTTTGAGAGGAGGGTAAGTTAAGACCATATTTTGATGGGCAACCAAGTCTGGACCTAACACTCCAGAAAAGTTTTTGTGAGCAGAAGCTCATCTGTAACAAAGTAGGGAAAAGGCTCCTCCACCCCCTTCACTGAGATGGAAACAGAATGGGCTCTGGAATTTAGAGACTTGGGTTGCTTTTTAAATTATTTAAAAATTATTTAAAATGCCGAAACCGGTTTGGCTCAGTGGATAGAGCGCCGGCCTGCGGACTGAAAAGTCCCAGGTTTGATTCCGGTCAAGGGCATGTACCTGGGTTGCAGGCACATCCCCAGTGGGAAGTGTGCAGGAGGCAGCTGGTCGATGTTTCTCTCTCATCGATGTTTCCAACTCTCTATCTCTCTCCCTTCCTCTCTGTAAAAAATCAATAAAAATATATTTTAAAAAAATTATTTAAAATATATGTATAAAATGATACCACCATACATAATTTTACGTATGTACTTTAATATGATTGTAGCATGTATATTGTTTGTGTTTTAATGAAGTCTTTTTCCCTTTTTCTTCTTCTTTTTTTTTTTTTTTTTTTTTTTTAAATATATTTTATTGATTTTTTACAGAGAGGAAGGGAGAGAGATAGAGAGTTGGAAACATCGATGAGAGAGAAACATCGATCAGCTGCCTCCTGCACATCTCCCACTGGAGATGTGCCCGCAACCCAGGTACATGCCCTTGACCGGAATCGAACCTGGGACCTTTCAGTCCGCAGGCCAACGCTCTATCCACTGAGCCAAACCGGTTTCGGCCTTTTTTCTTCTTTTTGCTTACCCTCTCCCACCTTCACCCATATCACCCCTGCTCCTCAAATAACCTATAATGACAATTTACTCTGCTTTCTTCCATATTTTTATCTATTTTTAGTATAATAGACATACATATGTAGTCATAGCCATTTTTTATTGTTGACAGTATTACAGTGTCCTCCACTTTTTCCCCTTTAGCTCCCCTCCACATAGCGTTCCTCTAGCCATTTTATTTACTTAATTATTTTTCAAAATATATTTTTATTGATTTCAGAGAAGGGAGAGAGAGATAGAAACATCAATGATGAAGAGAGAATCATTGATCGGCTCCCTCCTGCATGCCCCCACTGGGGATCAAGCCCACAACTCAGGCATGTGCCCTGACCAGGAATTGAACCGTGACCTCCTGGTTCATAGCTTGATGCTCAACCACTGAGCCACACCAGCCAGGACCCCCCTAGCCATTTTACATATACACACACAGCACATGGAACATTGAAATGGGATTATATTACAGGTCACCTGGCACAGCTCTATTTCATTGTCTTTTTTTGTTATTGTTGTTAATCCTTATCTCAGGATATCTTTCCATTGATTTTTAGAGAGAGTGGAAGGGAGAGGGAGAGACAGAAAGAAATATCAATGTGATCGAGACACATTGATTGGTTGCCTCCTGCATGCACCCTAACCAGGGCTGGGGAACCTGCACCGAGGTATATGCCTTTGACTGGAATCATAATTCATTGTTTTTTAATGGTCACATAATATTCCATGGTGTGGCTAAGTCATAATTTTTCAAACCATTCCACTTTTATGGGCTATAACATTTTGTTTCTAATATTTTTCTCCTATGAACAGCATTGCAATAAATATGTGCTTTTATTTCTATGGAATAGGGTCCCAGACATGAGATTGCTAAGTAAAGAGGTATTTTAAATTTTATTAAATATTGCTAGATTGCTTTTCAAAAAATCTGTGATAATTCACATTTCTACTAGCAATATATGACAAGACCTATGTCTTTGCTAGCAATTGGCATTATTAATCTTTTTAATATTTGCCCATCTAATGTACATAAAATTATTTCATCTTCCTTTGCTTATTAGTAAGTGTGAGTACCTTCTTGTTATGTTTATTCACTTGGGATTATTCACTGTGAGATGCTTATTTATGGATGTTGCCTATTTTTTATAGGGTTCTGTTAATAATTTGTGCTAATTCATTTTATTAAATTATAACCTTCTGTCTTTTAGGCTGAAGATTTTTTTTTTACTTTCGTTGTTTGTTTCTTAACTGGGTTTATGGTTTCTCTTGCCACAGTAAGATTTTACATTTTTATGTAGTCAAATTTATCTCTTTTCTCTCTTACAGCTTCTGGGTTTCCAGTCTTGGTTAAGAAGGTCACCCTCAGATTGTACATGTAGTCTCCTAGATTCTCTTTCAGGATTTGTATGGTTTTAATTTTTCTTTTATCTTTGTATATGGTATAAAATAGGCATCCAACTTTATTTTTTCTCAGCTAGATACTAATTATGTCAGCACTATATTAAATGATCTACCTTTTCCCCCTGGAATTGAGCTACCATCTTCATCATATATTCTCATATTTAATAGTTTTTAAGAATTTAAAAAGACAAAAAGAGGATTAGTAGCAGCATGTCACTTATTTTAGTCATCATCTTATGTCCTCCTGGTGACTGGGTTGAATCTCAAGGCTTCAAGAGCTCCCTCTCATCGTGTCCCTACTTCCCTTTCAGGTGCCGCTAGCTGATGAGGGGGTCGCTCCTCTGCCCACTGCAGAGCCAGTGAAAGAGGAGAAATTCCTGCTTGGAGAAGGGCTGTCTCCTCTGCTTCCAGTTCAACCCATCAAGGAAGAAGAAATACAGCCTGGGGAGGAAATGCCACACTTAGGGAGGCCTATCAAGGTGGAGAGCCCACCCCTGATAGAGTGGCCCTCGCCGTGCCCATCTGTCAAAGAGGAGCTGTCTCAGTCCTGGGAGGACGACTCCCCTCATTTGCCCACTCCAAAGTCCAAGAAGTCCTACAGTGGGCTCAGGTCCCCAACCCGGTGTGTGTCTGAAATGCTGGTGATTAAACGAAGGGAGGGGAGGGAGATGAGCCGGTCTCGAAGGAAACAGCACCTACTACCTCCCTGTGTGGATGAGCCTGAGCTGCTCTTCTCAGAGGCCCCTGGGACTTCAAAACCAGCCACAGAGCTCACTCTCCCTTCAGAGCCCTCTGTGCCTGCCTCCCAGCTTGGCTACTCCCAGGAGGAGGGAGGACCTTTTAAGACACCCATTAAGGAGACGCTGCCCGTCTCCTCTACCCCGAGCAAATCTGTCCTCCCCGTGAGCCCTGAATCCTGGAGGCTTACACCCCCAGCCAAAATTGGAGGGTTAGATTTCAGCCCAGTACGAACCCCTGAGGGTACCTTTGGCCCCCTACCTGACTCCCTGGGGCTGACAGATTTCAGTACCACCCCACTGAAAAGCATCCCCCTCTTTGACTCACCCCAAGAACTCCTCAATTCGGAGCCCTTTGACCTCAACTCTGACCCCTTTAGTAGCTGTTCCCCCTCAGAAATGGAAGTCCCCAAGCCAGACTACCCCATGGTTGGGGAGCCACAGGTTGCCAGCCTTCCAGCCAACCGTTCCCTGACAGAAGGCCTGGTTCTGGACACAATGAATGACAGCCTGAGCAAGATTCTGCTGGACATCAGCTTCCCTGGCCTGGAGGAGGACCTGCTGGGCCCTGACAACATCAACTGGGCTCAGCTCCTGCCTGAGCTGCGGTAGAGACCTGACCTCACCCTTGCTGCTCAAGCTGTCCACTCTGGGCCATCCAAGAGTGGCTGGGCCATCCAAGGCCTGAGTAAGGACGGCAAGCAGGGACTGTCCGCCCTCTAGCCCCACCTTGTTATGCCAAGGCAGACATCGTGCCATAGTCACCACTGGGCCCTCTACAAGCCTCGAGGCCCTGGTATCTGAACTCTGTACCACCCTATGCTCCCCTAGAGAATCTGATTCCTCAATCCCCCTGTGAGAGCTGAAGGGTGGGCATAGCAGAAACAAGGATGAAAAGAGATTAGGAACTCCCCAAACTGTATTGTGCCCAGCAGTTTCACCTTCCCTGTTCCTTGCAGGGTGTCCTGTAAATAGTGTATATGCTCCAAATTATCCTCTAATTTTAAATGTAAGCTTATTTCCTTAGATCATTATCTACAGAGTATCAGAAGGTGGGTAGGATGACAGGGGTTTCACTTTGCTTCTGTTCCACGCTTTCCTCCAGGCCCAAGTTACCTGCCTCAAGGGTTCTTTACTGTAGGCACCCAGACAAGCAGATCGGCTTGCCAGAGCCCCTTCTACTGCTCTTCCCTCCCACCTCCCCATGTTTCCAAGAAGAAATCCTGGTAAAACTGTCTCATAATGTGTCAAGAGTTGAATTGGGAGTGGGGGGTGGATGCATCTGAAGCAGAGTGTGGGCGCCCAGCTGTGTGCCCATGTGATGTTTCTCTGATAGTGCCCCCTAATCATGCCAGAGAGACTAGCACTGATGAGAACCTGGCCTGAGGCTTGAGGAGGCTAAAAAGGCCCTGACCTGCCTGGCTTCCTTAGCTTGCACTGCAGCTTTGCAAAGAGCCACCTGGGCCCCAGCTGGCCATATGCATGTGAGCCAGCGCAAGAACACTACTGTAACTACTCAATAAAATCCAGGGTGTAAGTTTCTCTCTGTGGTGTGTTGGCATCTGGTCCCTGAGCTAAGAAGGGATTGGGAAAGAAAGTGGGTGATGATGAAGATGGGCAAGCAAGGTCTGAAGACAACATGAAGCGCTTGAGAGTGCAAAGGCCTGTGGCATGGACCACCTCCCATACGGTACCTGCACAGACACACAGCCTTTCTAACACAGAGATGACTTTTCCCAATAATCGTCCTGCACAGCCAGTCCCCACTAAGGGAAAGGAATACCTGGGGGCACACCTTCCAGAACATTAGGAAAGGATGAGCCCAATTACAGGTACCTCATGACCACTTTTACCTCCAACCCAAGGCCTGAAAGCCAGCCTGTCCTGCTTTTCTCTGTAGGCCTTCCTAGGCCAGTCCCTTCCCAGAAGCGCTCCCATTTCCATCTTTCACAGAACTTGTCTCATCCCCTGGCTCTGGGCCTGGAGCAACCAGGGCCCAAAGGACTGATGAGCCCTCCTCCCTGAGGCACCGCCCAGGAAACAGCACCATAGCAACCAGGCAGCAAACAATGCTGCCAGTAAGGTCTTCCCTATAAAGCTGCCCCCCTTGGCAATTAGGCCCAGAAGAAGAATGGCTTGTAACCCAGGAAGATCACTCAGAGGGCAAAGTAATCCATCCGATGCCAGGAAACCTTTCCTGCAGGTAGGGGCCAGGGCCCCATCTCTGAGACCTACCTTTTTGTACCCCACTGGGCTGGTGGCTGTCCCCCTGGGTCATGCTTTCTCCAAGGCAGCAGATCTCCAGTCTGTGAACTCCCGCTGTCTTCCTCCCTTAGTTCTATGGTACTGTGAACGCGGAGTTCAGAAGAGAGGAAAGGAGAAGCCTGGTTATTAGATCTCCTGGACCGTTGGTCACATAGTAATGATTTAGGGGACTGGACCCAAGAAACGGGAGTTTTGGGAACCAGAAAAGTCCTAGGAGTGGACTGGCAGGAGAGGCATTTTTGGAGAGCATAGTATCATGATTAGTGCAGACAAATGGCCACAGGCTTTCTGGGTGAGTTATTTACTGTGTGAGATATTTACTGTGTCTTGCTTTTTGCATCTTTGAGATGAGGACTGTAACAACACCTGCTCACAGGGCTGTGAACATTAAGTGAGATGTGGATAAGTACTTAGCACAGTGCCTACATAATTGCTACTGTTTATTTCATGGGGGTGTGGCACAGAAAAGGAAGGGACGAAGAGCCTATGCTTTCTGTATTTGCCTGTATTTTAATGAAAGGGCAATGCACCAACCACAGGGAGAACGAGCAGTGGGAGGAGTCCTGGTTAGAAAAGCACCCAGGCTCCCTTCTCTGAGGGAAGACTTGCCTCCTACACTTGGCTTGGTTGGGACATTTTCCCTCAGGCTTTCCTTGGGCCTGATGTGCCCATTAGGAGCATGAGTTCCTCAGCAGGATTGTGGGGTCCCCAGGACGAAGAGGATGGGTGAAGAGTGGGAAAATCCAAGTTGAAAGAGGGTGGGAAATCACCCCCAAACCTGGTAGGTGGAAAGAGAACAAAAGATCAACAGTCTAAAGCAGTGGTTCTCAACCTTCCTAATGCCGCGACCCTTTAATACAGTTCCTCATGTTGTGGTGACCCCCAATCATAAAGTTATTTTCGTTGCTACTTCATAACTGTAATTTTGCTACTGTTATGAATCATAATGTAAATATCTGATATGCAAGATGTATTTTCATTGTTACAAATTGAACATAATTAAAGCATAGTGATTAATCACAAAAACAATATGTCATTATATATGTGTTTTCCGATGGTCTTAGGCGACCCTTGTGAAAGGATCGTTCGACCCCCAAAGGGGGCGGGGGGGTGGGGGGGAAATAATACAGAGCCAGCCTACCTGCTGCTGAGCAGGGCGGGAGGGAGACACACTCCCTGCCAGGCCGCCAGTGCCCCAGGAGAGCCCTGGTGTGGAGGAGGCCAGCAGCTCCTTTCCTCTGGGCTGCTCCCGGGAAGCAGAGGCAGAATGCCCCACACTTCCTTTGTCCCTCTCTAGAGGTTCCTGGCTGAGTCCCTCCCAGACCACCGCACATGGGCTCAGCGTGAGTTTCTCCTCACTGATAAGCCTGGGGAATTGCCTGGCTTTACCCGGCAAACCTACCACCAGCTGGCCGTGAAGCTGCCACCCTGCACAGACATCAAGTCCAAGGTGCGCCACCGAATAGTCCACCCTTGGAAGGATAAAACCGAGCACACCTGGGGCTTTCACACGTGGCTTGACGTGGGGCGCTTGCCCGCCACCTTTCCCAGCAGGCCTGACAGACCCTATGATAGCAATGTCTGGCGCTGGCTGACGGATTCCAGGGCCCACCGCCATCCACCAGCAGAGCCCGCCATCCCCCCACCCTCCTGGATGGGTCAAAACAGCTATCTGACCTTCATCAGCTGTACTCCTATCTTCTTGAATGAGGACCTGAAGAAACAGGTGATTTTCAGGACAGTGAAAGAACTAAAAGAAGTGGAGAAACTCAAGCTGAGGAGTGAAGGAAGGGCACCTCCACTTGACACCAATGGCAACATCCTGCCGCCAAAGAACTTCAGGAAGTAAGAGGCGCTCCTTCCTCAGGGAGCTCACCCACCTCCCCATGTTCAGGTGACCCCCGCCCCTTTGATTCCTGTTTCTGATATCTAATTGGAACTCTAACTTTCCCACCTCTGAAAACTAAACACTCTTCTGACTGTATCTGAAGGAAAGGGATGGAGGCAAGGGAAAGACAGTCAGGGGAGGGGCTCAATCATTTATTTACTTTTTAAATATATTTTTATTGATTTTTTATACAGAGGGAGGGAGAGGGATAGAGAGTTAGAAACATCGATGAGAAACATCGATCAGCTGTCTCCTGCACGCCCCTACTGGGGATCGAGCCTGCAACCCCGGGCATGTGCCCTTGACCGGACCCTTGAGCCCACAGGATGATGCTCTATCTATTCAGCCAAACTGGCCAGGGCCTTTCTGCCTTTCTGAAGGCTTCTTACCCTTTCAGCTTTCATGCGTTTTCTCATGAAGCCTTCCTGGGGGATATATATAAAAGAAAGGCAGAAAGGAGGGGATGGAGGACTGACTGGTGTGAGCAGAGACAGGAATGTAAAAGGACTTATTCCAGAACCCTGCAGCTCCCCCTCCCCCACCCCATCGTGGGAACTCACAGATATTGCCATACTGGGTCCAGTCCAGGCACTGGGCATGAGTGGCGGGAAAGGAGGAGAAGAATAAGGATAGAATGTCTTAAATTCCGATTCCACAGGCATTAACAGAAGCATTGAGGGGTTGAAGGGGGAGGCTGTGGAAATCTGCAATCTTAAAAAAAAAAGCCAACAATTGGTGATTTTGAGAGAAGATTATTCAAGGCCTTGGCTTCTCTCTAGTGTCCCTGCAATGAAGATTTATTATTATTATTATTTTATTTTTTATTGTTTAAAGTATTACAAAGGGTATTACATATGTGTCCTTTTCTCCCCCGCCCTTGACAATCCCCTGGTTCCATTGTTTAGTATTGAGAATTCATAGAACAGTAACTACATTTACAGAGTGTGCTGAGCTCTTTTAACTTGTATTCTTATGTTTTCTAGGTAGATTTCTTAAACACGCCAACAGATAGATGAGAATTAAAATGGAAACAGTTACCTCGTCATTTTAGCGCTGTTTGAACACGGTTTCAGTGTATTAAGTTGCCCGTTTTGTATTAAGGTGCCATTTTCTTGCAATTGAAGTATGCCGTATTCTATCACAAAGAATTCCTTATTTAGTATTGAGAATGCTTGAACAATAATCACATTTACAGAGTGTGCTGAGCTCTTTTAACTTGTATTCTTAGTATCATTTAGAAATCTCTCTCTCTCTCTTTCTCATATTCCATGTTATTACTATAGCATACCTTGTTGAACCATCTACCTACTATAGCACATCTTGGTTGTTTTCAGCTCATGACATTTCTATAAACAGTCATGTACAGTTTTTTTTAATATATTTTATTGATTTTTTTACAGAGAGAGAAAGGGAGAGGAATAGAGAGTTAGAAACATCAATGATGAGAGAAATATCCATCAGCTGCCTTCTGTACATGCCTCCTACTGGGGATTGTGCCCACAACCCAGGTACATGCCCTTGACTGTAATCGAACCCAGGACCTTTCAGTCCCCAGGCTGACTCTCTATCCACTGAGCCAAACCAGCCAGGGCTATTATTATTATTTTTAATTGATTTCAGAGAGGAGGGGAAAGGGAGAGAGATAGAAACATCAATGATGAGAGAGAATCATTGATTGGCTGCCTCCCGCATGCCCCACACTGGGGATCAAGCTACAGGCCTAACTGGGGGTGAAGGGGGAGGTGGTGGAATTGAACTGTGACCTCCTGGTTCATAGGTTGACACTCAACCACTGAGCGACACCGGCTGGCTGCAATGAAGATTATTGATGGTTAAAATGTGCCAATACTAGGCATACAAAGGTGAAGGAGACTTAGCTCACTCCTCAAAAAACTCAGTCAAATTATAGTGCCAGATGTTCTGTGGTTCCTTTTAAACAGCTCTGTAAGGGGTTAAAATAAATTGTTAGAATTACTCTAGTTCCATGAGAAAGCACATTCTGAGCATGAAAGACCCAGAGATTTTGGACTAGGTCTGAGCCTGAAGATACTCATGATTTGCTGGGAAATAGAACATTTATATATAAACTCAGCCATTCTCAACTCTGGTAGAACATCAGAATTTCCTGGGCCTCTGTAGAAAACTGTTGAGGTTTGAGTACCACCCAGAGAGTCTAACTCACTTGGCCTGGGGGCAGCCTGGCATGGCATTAAGCTCCTGGGGATGATTCCGTTGTGCAGCAAGACCTGAGCACTTCTGCTGTACACGGAAGAGAGCAAACTGGGCTATCTGTGAACCAGGTGCAAAGCATGTTGAGCCACAGGAAATTTGCCACCATTTAACTATGGATTTTAAAAAGTCAAATTCTTGCCCTAGCCAGGTTGGCTCAGTGAATAGAGTGTCAGCCTGTGGACTGAAGGGTCCCAGGTTTGATTCCAGTTAAGGACACATGTCTGTGTTGCAGGCTTGATCCCCAGTGTGGGGTATGCAGGAGGCAGCCAATCAATGATTCTCTCTCATCATTGATGTTCCCCACCCCCACCCCCCTCTCTTCCCCTCCCTCCTTCCCTTCCTCTCTGAAATCAATAAAAACATATTTTTCAAAAAGGCCGCCCTAGCTGGTTTGGCTCAGTGGATAGAGCATCGGCCTTAGG